ACCAGGACAAAAGTGGTTTTGAACTGATCATACTATATGATCTGTGATTATACTGTATGAATATAGATGGCTAAATTGAATTTTTAGGGTTTATTGAAGCCTGTTATATAATCAATTCCTTTGCTTCTTAAAAAGGAGAGAGAGGAATGTGAGAAAGGAAGGGAACTCTTGAGAGGGAGCTTCTTGAAAAGATTTAGGGCTTGTGAGAGAAAGGAGAAGGTGAGTTTGTGCGTGAGGGAGAAGTAGTGTGAGGGGATCACACAGTTTCTCTGAGCCTGTTGCATGCTTGCTCCTTCTATGGCATGAGTAAGTCTTGTGGAAGCTCTCTAGGGGGAGAGCCTTCAAGGTCAAAGTCCTCAAAAGTTATCTGCCTTCTCTAGGAGGGATAAAACAAGAAGGTCCGCTGGCGTCACTGAGAGGGTGACATAGCATCAGGCACTCCGTCACACCAAAGAAAGTGAAAGTGAGTTTGTACAAAGGCTTCTCCACCTTGCTGTTGGAGCAGAAGGAGAGTTACTTTGAGTAGTGCAAATCTTGGAGTGGAGGGCTCTGGGAGTGGACATAGGTCAAGGTTGATCGAACCACTATAAAAATTTATGGTGTGCTTTTTCCATTTATCGCATTTTATTTTTCCATGCATTTAACATTGCTATATCTGTTTGGTGAAATTTTGATTATAGTATTTTGTTGTGCAATTTAAAATTTCATCACTATTGTTGCAATCATTATTTAATCACTAACTTATGCTTCAAATTAGTTATGTCATCTTTTAAAATAAACAAAAATTTACAAAAATAGAACTCATTATTAGGATTTAATTTATTAAAAAAATACCAATTCCCCCCCCCCCCCTCTTGGAACCCCCCCCCCCCCCCCCCCCTCTTGGTGCATCTCATGCTTTTAAAGGGATGGGTGAACTAGGGTAAGTGTGTTGGGTCATGAGAGTCCCAATGTAACCCTTAGTTTGAATTGATTTAGCTTGGGTTGATATTTAACCCATGGAGACCCTTCTTTGGACACTTGGTTCAAGCCATGTGGCTAAGCCAAGTGGGCTCAAGGCCTAGACCATCAAGAGGGGCCTCCCTAGGGACTCAATGAGTCATCTTATGGGTTTAAAAGGGCTTGGCAAAGCCTTGGTCAAAAGGTTTGAAAGGGATAGAGGTGTGTATGTGCTTGGAAAAACTTGGTTGAATTGGTCAACCAAGTTAATCTAGGGTCAAAGGTTAGGTCCATAAAGTTTGGATTGAGCATATGAACTCAATGGAAGTGGTCCCAGGCTAAGAGGACTTCATTTGGCTTGGAATAGCTATTTAAACCCTTAAGGGGGATTTTAATCAACCATGGTTGATTTGGTCAACCAAGTCAAACCAAAGGGTAAGTTTAAGTTTAATGCATTCCTAATGATGTTTAGTATGCATTAGAAAAGGTTTCAAGGTTTGATGTGATTGAGCCATATTGAGTTTTGGGGAAATCCAAAAATGCCCTTAAAGGGCATTTTGTTCTTTTTGACCCATGGTCAACTTTGGGTCAAACTAGGCCTAATAAAATGCAGCTTACTAATCCACATGTCATAATAAGAGTCATGTACATGGTCAGGGGTTTTGGAAAAGGCCTCAAGGTCAAATTCCATAGGGTGAAGGGTCCAATGGTATATGCTCTAAATATTTGAAGGTTTTATAACCATTGAAAATCAATTCAGCTTCTAAAGTTAGAAGTGTCATATTGAGCTCAAATTTGGAGGGTTGACCCTGGCAACATGCCTAAGCAATATGTAAGCTTATGAATCAGAGGTCACTTGACTAGATTTTGAGGTGATTGAAAAATCACCCAAAAAGGATTTTAGGACCTAAGCCCTTAACCCTAAATTTTGCTCTGGCATTCTGGATTTGAACTGGATTTTGGGTTTGAATGAGTGAGTGTGTATTATCCTTATCTATCACAATCAAATGAATGATTGAGATTTATTGGATAGGATTTGAAGTATGATTGAAGGCTGGTTTGAAGTCTAGAGTTAAAGGCTGGGGTTGAAGTTTGGATTGAGGACTATATTGAAATTTGAGTGGGACTTATATGATTGACAAGTGGACAATTGTCAATCATCGGGTCACCAAGAAGGAATATAGGTAGGTCATGATGACCTCATATAGAAAATGAGGTCAACATGTACGAACTGTTCAAATAAAATTTGATTTAATATTTAAATGAGTGAGATTAATTAAACTTAATAAATAAATAATCATTATGTACGATCTAAACATCATATAGGTCGATCATCTATATTAAGAAACCCCACCATCAAATTCTGGTTACTTAAATAAGGGAAATTTGAAAATTATACGAGCCATTTTGTAATGTACAAATGTTAATTAAATTGCTTAATGTAATCCAGAAGATTAAGCAATCAAATCAAGATTAATTATCATTAATAATTGTATGATATGATCTTGATCATACTAGATGATTAATAAAGCGCCCTTCTGGATAAACTTGGTTCATCTTGGGTTTCATCCTAGATGATCTGTGATTACATTGAACTAATTGTACTAAGCAATTTAGAAGCCACAATATTAAAATTTTGGATTTTTGAGAGCTCACTTTTTAAGAGGGGTCACATGGTTACTTCATTAACCTGCTCCTTGCATCCTCCAATTATGTTGTATTGTAGCACTTGGAGAGGAGCTCCCGAGAAGAAGAGTCTTTGGGGACAAAGACTCGCTAGTCTGGAGGCTAGTGTAAACATCTCCACCGCGCTAGAGAGGGTCAAGGATGGAGCAGCATCTCTGCCAGAGAGAGGAGCTAAAGAAGGGACGACACTCTGTCAAATTGAGGAGGTAAGATAAGGGAGTTTCTTCAGAATATGTAAGGTAATTTTCCACTTGTTCAAAGGAGAGGGGCTTCTCCTTCTTCTTTCTTCTTCTCTCCCCCTTCTCTGCTCTTCTCACCCAACAAAAGCAATGAAGGAATGGGGAGGAAATGGAAAAGGTGATGGGTTTAAGAAATTTTTTGAGATTTTTTTTATTAAAAATTTAAAGTTTCATATCCAACGTTATGGCACTCAAAACCCTAATGCCGCTACACCCACTTATTTCCCCAAAAACTTGAGAGCTCAAAGTTGGGGCGATGTCCATCTCGACATCAGAGCCCTCTCAAAGCAAAATTTATAGAAATTAAGGAATATAAAATTTGGGTTATTACAAGTAGGCCACAATCATGAAGAGGAATGTCCTAGCCTAATATATTATAATCAGACATGTCATATCATTATAATACTTATAACTTATGAAGCCATCTTATAGCTGGGAGGAAGTGTACTAAATTCCTCGAGGAGAGAGTGCTAAGGATTTTGAGTTGGAAGAGAATCAAGGTGCTCATTGTCGAATATATTCTATCATTGTGTATGAATGAAAATGTACATGGCAAAGTATTGTATTTCAACTTTAAGTTTATGTTGTGGATCATTATTTTGAAATATATTACTAATATTTTTATCTAATTATTTTTAAGTGATTGTTCATCATATATAGGTGCATGTAGCTAATGAGAATGACTTATATAAATTCACTATACATACTATCTTTATGCTTATCCTATTTCGATTTATAAAGAAGCAAGTCATCACCACATATTTTGACGAAAAAGTAAGAGTGGGAGCTAAAGAATAATTACCTACAACTAAGATTTTGTCATCCTTCGAAGGGTTGGGGTAGTTTTTTCTTATTATATAAAAGCTAAAGAGCAACCAACATATATTAGAGAAATAAGTTGAGGTACTTGCCATTGTCTCAACCATTAATTTAGTTGAGGTGATGAGGTAGAGAAGGATATGAGGATTGAAAAAAAAATAGATGAGATGGGGGAGATAGTAGATGCTGACCAATCTTATATTGTTGTATGTATTAATAAGGTGATCATGAAGGCAACATATAGGGGATGTCGATCAATCTTTTGCAATTTTATGTACCTAAAGACTTATAGATCATGCATCATTCTTTTGAATAAAGTATTTATTAATACTATTGACACAAAGTTAGAATGGAAGGACTCCATCACATGACCTGAAGAATCCCTCATGCATGTCATTGTAGAGGAGAAAAAAGTTCATAAATTCTAGAGTTGATGTATAATGTATTTATTTTCTAACTATGTTGTATAAAGCTAATTGGATTGAAGATGAGAAAAAAGTTCATAAATTCTAGAGTTGATGTATAATGTATTTATTTTCTAACAATGTTGTATAAAGCTAATTGGATGATATGTGAGATCTCATTACCCTACATAAATAATGACATTATATGAATCTGATATCTCTTGCACTCCAACATAGACCTTTTAATCAATGATAATCTTGTTTCTTAATTGCTTCTCTAAATTGCTCAAGATGCCTTAAGTTATTTGACAATACACAATTTTTTTTACTCTAAAACTCCTTGAAAGTGTAGGGTCAACACAAGGTTTCTTAAGTCTACAATAAGGTAAGCCATTTAAAAATTCATAAACCTTTATGTAGTTGGATTAATTTCTTTTGTTGGTTATGTTATAGTTGTCATAATTTACTTAGTTAGGTCATAGCTAGTGGATCACTCTTTATTGTTTCATATTACAATCAATTATGTATTAGCTATCGAATTACATTATATTGCACTATTTTATAATATATTGTGTTATATTTATTATGATTATACTTTGCTTCATTAAATTTATAGTATGCTTTGTTAAGATCATTAAATATTTAATATAAGTAAATCCTTTTAAAATTTTACTTTAATAATATTCGAATCATATGTGGTTGATAATTAAGCTCTTAGAACTAAAGTTATTGAGGTGGATTTTAAGTAAGTAATTCGAGATTAAAAAAAGACTAGATTGTGTTGTGTTCTTTGACTATCAACAAAAAAAAATTGAGTTGGAGTCATGTGTGAGTTATTATGTGCGTGAATTCGGGGATTGTCCTAAAAAAGAAAAAAATAATATGCAAAATGAAATGCGAGTAATACATTTTAAGCAGCCAGCATATTCCTCTAAGCAAATGAATCAAATTTCTTCTTGTAGGAAAAGCCCTTTCCCGCTCTCGCGACGCTTGCGGATGCCAGAGCGTTCGGTCATGGAGGCCCGAAGAATCACCAGCAGAGGACTTGGAGGAGACTCGAGGGAGTGGGACGAAGAAGGTTATCGGCGTAGCATTCTTGTGGAGAGGGAGCTCAGCTCACGCATCGTCTTCAGGACCGCCTTCGCTCCCTCCGAAAACCCTAATCCTGAAATCGTACTGGTGGCTTCTAGCGACGGATCTCTCTCCGCTTATTCCATTTCCTCTTGCATCTCTTCCTGTCCTCGGGTAAAACTTATCTCTCTCATTGTGATTTCTCATTGCCGTATTCTGCAACTGCTTAATTGTTAACCGTAGTTGACTGCCGATTGTTCGACAAAACGCTCCCCCTACTTTAACCCAAAGGTGTTGAGTTTGAGACGTCAACGAAAGAGTTGAAATTAATTCTAAAACTTGGCTGGGGCTGTTTGGCTACAATTAGGATTTAAATCAGAGTAGGATTTAGAGGCTGTTTGACGACTAGCAGGATCTAACTCAATTAGAATTTTGTAAATTATGTAAATTCAGATTTATTAAATCCTTAGAGGATTAAAAGTTGAAAATTGTTTGATATGATAACTGTTCAATTTTGCTAAATTCTCATAAACGATTTGATTATTTGTTGCAGGATTTACAATTTGTGTGGGGAGAAATTTTTAAATCATGTATATCCCGTGAATGATGTGATTTAGCAAATTTTAAATAGCCAACAACAGAGCTAAAATGGGGTTTATCAAAATAGTGGGATTTAATTTCCTTAAAATTCAATTTGCCAGTATTTAATTAGCTTAGGGCATCTCCAACTGAATATCATTCATCCGTTTGTTGCTATTGCTAGCGTCCACCCGAACAGCAAACGAAAACACATTTTTGCATTTTATCTTGATTGTGAACAGTGTGTCGCATTATTCACATAAGCGTATTTTTTTGGTGTAGAAAAATGGAGGTTAGAAAGGGAGCTGAGAAAGAATATACTCATAATATTCTTTTTTGATGTTAGAAATGGAGTTCGCTTGAAGTGAATTACTGTTTGATATGACTGTTATTGCATCTTGAAGTGGAAAATAGGTTGTTCAGTTAGAGATGCCCTCACACCCCACCTAAAATATGACGCCAAACAAGCTATTATTAAATCTTTGTAGTCAGGATTTAGTTGATTTAATTTTGAAAATTATTAAGCATGAAAAATATTAAATTCTACTAAAATATGGTAAACCATTTGGCTATTTATTTTTGGATTCAAGATTTAAATGATTATTAGATTTGATTAGAATCCTAAACAGATGGGGCAAATCTCATGTGACGGATAAACTTTAAAGGAAAAAAAAAACACCATTGGACATATTAAAGTAAACTCATTATTTTTTTAAATAAGGCATGAATCACATGATGATATCAATTGCAATCAAACTGATTTTCATTAGCACAATAAAGGGATGGAAACCAGAATTAGCTCTAAAGAAACATAATAATAAAAAAAAAATAGAGAAACCTATGGGCGATTGCTAAACTCTCTCTCCATCTCTTGCAAATCCTAATCTCCTTTCTTATTCTCCTTGAAGTTGCAAAAACTAAAATTAATTAGTTCCTTTCCCATTTCTCCTCCAGATCTCCTCTAGCTGCAGCCCCAACAACAACATAAGAACCTAAAAGTGCTTGATATACACCAAACACAACCAAAAGTCTAAATCAGCTCTTCAACCGCTTGTGTGCAGTCGAGGATTATACATGCCATGAGAGAGAGCCTTGAGGAGCTAAATTACATTAACTTGGCTCCAATGGAATTTGTTAAATATGTGATTTAACGTTAAATGGGTGAAAATGGGATTACATAGCATAGTAAGATTTTATTGACTACAAAAAACTGTTTGATAATATTTAACCTAAATCCCAATTAAATCCTGCCTAAAACTTGCTGCCAAATAGCACCATATTTTATTATAAGTTGTGTTATATTTCCAATTTTAAACTAATTGCTAAATTTCATTCGCTGGTTAGTGACCCTTCTTTTGATGATATTACTTGGTTCAGGATGCAATAATAAACCTCTGTTATATAATTTGTGCATCTATTTTTTATGTAAGGACGTATAGACTTGGGTGAGTTTGTAGTTGTGCTGGCATAGTGCTGTGGAAACTATTGAGATGTCTTGTTAGAAGTCTAACAATTATTATTATAGGAGCATGATATAATTTTTTTTGAAAAGTAGTTACTAATTTTCATTTTTATTGCAGCCTATTCTTTGTAGCAAGGGGACCGATCAAAAGTAAGTTTTGAGGAATCTTTCATAAGTTTTGGAAACATGGTTTCTATTGGAAGAAATATGTGGTTTTATTCTTCCTCTAATGAGATACAGTAAGTTAATGTCAGGGCACCTGAAGTTTTGTGGGCTGATCCACTTTGTTCAATTCAAGCACACAAAGGCCCATCATATGATTTGAAGTTATATGGAAATGACGAGGAAGCTTTACTATTGAGGTTTATATGATTCTAAACATATGTCTTCTTCCAACTAATTCTATCATACCCTTTTAGATAAGGCAATTGCATCAAGTTTATAGATATGTGTCTGAACTTCAAAACATGTTTCATTCGGACCATTTCTGGCCCATGGATTTCAATAGTCTTGTACTTGGTAGTAGAGAAAATATGAGCGGAAAATGGTGGGTTATAAGTGAAATTAATGCTTTTGGCTATATGACTATTTAGTTTTGTTAATTTTCATGTATCGGCTTTTCTTGATTTTAAACTGTAGTTATCAGGGAAAAACTCCAATTAGGATTTTTTCTTATTTTTCTTAGAGGGGTTGAGTTTGATGTTTCTCTAGTTGAATTTAGCAATTTTTTGGGGTTTTCCTATAACCCAACTCTGCCTTACTTTATAGTTGTCAAATAAATTGCAGAAGTAAAGATTAAATCTGTTGATTTTTTTTCAACTTAGATTTCGCATGAATCTTTGCTGAGGCTATTTTTTACTTGTTGGCTTTATTTTATTCAGAATAACGAATAACATAGTTCTCACACTTCATTGGGGCTCCTTAAAACAAGGAAGACATTCTCTTGTGAGTAATAGTCTACACAGCCAGAAAATTTTCCTTTGCTTGGGTTAGTGCTCCAGTTAGAGAAAGAAGATACTGACCTTCTGTTCCTTACATGAAAACATATGCAAATTGCTGAGGTAAAGGCAGCTGACTTTTATTCAAGGCTCTAAGCTGTTTTCAGGAAGATCTTGTAGCATTATGAATAGTAATGGAAGATAGGTGGAATGCAAAATTTTGAGAGTAGAGTTTGTATTAGAGTTGCGTGAAATGTTACCACAAGAAATGATTTGATTATATGGAAAAGTATCTCCAGCATTTTCTGTAGGATTCACATGTCGAAGTTTTTGTCAATTGGGAGGACATGCACCCCACGCTTTTGTCCTTTCTCCATTTGTCTTCATATTAGGATTGTACAATCATGCAAATATTTCCTTTATATTTCTTATATGCTTCTATGTGATCCCTTGAAAATTGACCGACTGCATGTACTGTTTGAAATGATATTTGATTTTGGATAGGAGAATCATGGTCTTCTAAAGCCTTTATCAGTTGCTATAAGTCTTCGTGCTTTCAATATATGATGCACATAAATGTTAAGGTTTAGCAATCAGAAAGAAGATTCTTATATTAAGGCATGGCTTTTTGATGGATAACTAGATGTTATGAATGAATAAGTGCTCTACTTTCTGATGCTTTTATTCATAGGCACCCCCTCCTTTATATTCATGGCTTTATTGCGGCTAATTACTATAGTAGTTAGTTTTTTCTTTTTGGGAGGATTTTGCGTTCTTTTAAATATGGTAAGGGAAGGAGGTCTAGTGGAGTCTTAACGGAATCGGGAGGCTGTCTAACGATTATCAAGGATAGGTTGCACTGGGAACATAACAGTAAGAGGCTCTCAAGAGGGGCATCAACGGGGCGAGAGAACGTATCTTAGGTGTTGGGGGCAAAGAAAATGACAACAAGGTGGTTGCTTGCGAACTAATGTTAAGGTGATGGCAAATAGGGCAAGGAGTGTCACAACCCAACTCGATAAGACCCGCGGACAAAACATGTCTTATCATGTTGATTTGCGACAGAACAACCCAAAGATTAGAGTTTTGGGTAACTTTTCAGATTTTCTTCTTTCAATTAGCTTTAGAAAACAAACAACAGATCACAGAGCTGCTAATAACTTCTAGTATATAGAAAATAACTTGTCCACAATTTTTTTTTCATTTTCACCAAAGTGTATATGCATCAATTACTCTGTAGTGCATCACTAGATATTGAACTATTGAACATAGCAATTTAAATGACTAGTTATGACTGTTCAAAAATTAGAAAAAGAGATATCTATACAAGCTCGTACATATTAGATCCCGACTCAGTTACTCAACGGGCTCTTTTTATCATACTCTAAAACAGAATGCAGATAAATTGTGAGCCAACACAACTCAACAAGTCACACTCACCGATCTAAATTTTCAAATAAATCATTAAGTATTCATATGAGTTTTTACAATAGTTCATAACAATTACTATACAGAATAGAATACTGCTTGCAGTTATCAGAAACTTAAATAACATTGCAGGAAAGCAAATAAATATGTCATATATTAAAAAGCATAAAATAACATATTTTCTCAGACCCTTATACCTCCTATCAGAATAGAATTCAAAATTCTAACCCTTATGATTTTTGTGATGGCAAATTAGAAAACATGCCCTTATTACTCTTAATGTTCAGATAATAAAATATGCATATAGCACTAGAATAGAACTTCATGTGCCTTTAACATTAGAATAAAACTTTCTTCACACACACCAGATCTCCTCAGAATCACATATTTAAAGCAGATAAACATATAATTAATTATATTGCATCAAAAGTTATAAATGAACTCATTTCAAAATTTAATAGAATGCCTTAACGATAGGCAACAGAATATACTACTAATTAGAAATTCATTATTTTAGACAGTGATTATTCCGAGCATTGTTATGAATCTTTAATTATACAACATTATTTTTAAGAGTCAAGATTATTTTCTAGGTAAATAAAATGGCGCACTTATTAGATTATTCGATCGAAATTTTTTAGAAAAATATATGTTTAGAATTATTGTCTCTACAACATATGGAAGAATACATGGTAAATGTTTAGCAATTACATAATTATCCTCGTTTTTACAATACAAAAATATAAATTTAATTAAGAAAATTTCAAAATCTTCGTATTTTTAAAACGGAGATGGGTAAAATTTCAACTATCTTGAACCAAACAACTTTAAAAATGAACTGACAGCTATAAAATGGATTGAAGTTGCATAAAATTGACTTTCTCTTTCTAGAATTTCACCTCTCTCCTCTAGTCGGCTGCTCCAAAGGATTGAAATGACTTTGAATAATGAATAATGATGTTTTTAATATAAAATCTAGCATAGCGCCGCAGCTTTTAATCCTGCGCGTCATAGCGCTACCCCCCAGCGCCGCATCCCTTAATTAAATTGACTAAAAGACAGAGAGCACAAAGTCGCGGCGTCGCCTACCCCAGTGGCGTCACCTAATTAAATTTTCTACATTTCTAAAACATTCACACAGGCCCCCCGAACGTGCTTCAGAACACATGCAGACTTTCACATGTATACCAAATATTCTTAGAAGTATGAGAAGCATTCGAATGGAAAAATTTAGTGGATTACTTGATCGAGTCAGAATAGGTGGGTGGTATTTTGATTTCAGAGGTGTTATAATTTTCCCATCCTAAAAAAATATCGTCTTTGATATTTTAGAACATAGATGAATCAAAATAGATCAGGATACAACTGTTTGACCTAAGATTCCTTCTCCCAAGTAACTTTTCTTTCTAATGTGCTTCCACTATACTTTATGATGAGGACATTCGACCATGAAGAGTTTACCAGGGTGGGGCCGACGATCTATGACCACGATTGCACCGCTTTACTTTTGAATTATTATTTGTATTAGATTTATTATTATATTTGCATTGAGTTTATTATTATATATTTTTCATTTGTACTCTCACTTGAGGGAGTAGTCCTATGCAATCCCTAAGAGAATGTTGGTCTTTTGTTTTCCTTCACTGTATGATTGGCTATTTTAAGCCGCCTCCTCATTTTTGAGGGTAATGATGAATATTATTACAAAATTTCTGCACTTGTACTTGAAAGAGTTGAGAGAGTTCTCTTGAGAGCAAAAACCCTAGGTTAGAGCGGCGTAATACCCACCAACCGCAGGAAGCGTCCGAGTTCGTGGTCTCCCTTTTCCTCCAATCCCTCCCCTCTCTTCTCCTTAAACCGCCGGCCATCATCTCCCATCCCCCTTCTCGGCCGAACCCCACAACACCACCTCAACCTAGACCGGCCACCTCCTCTTCCACTTCCAAGCCGCCGGCCCGAAGGCCCTCTTCCCTCCACCTAGTCGCCGGTCCCCAAGCTCTAACCCTAATCCTAGCCGCCACCCAAACCCCTAACCCTAATCCTAAGCCGCCGGCCCCAATCATCCCTCCCTTGCCTCTAAAATTCAAATCCCTAAATTGATTACTTTCCATATGTGATGAATCTAAATTAGGAGAGTTTTATTTTTAGATTTTAATTCAATTCGAATTTGAAATTCTTTCCTAAATCAAGAGGAGTTATATTTGGAAAGCCCACCCAATCAGGGCCTTTTAAATTTGAAATTAATTTCAAAGGATATTTGCATTAAAGCCTCTTTCTTAATTGAGATTGGCTTTGATTGGTAAGCTCGTAATTCCCTCCCACATCCCTCGCCTTCTCCTTAGCCGCTGACCCCCTCTCTCTTCCCTCTTCCTTTTTTTGATATTTCAAATTAATTTCCCTCCCAACTATTCCTCCTTCGAATTAATTTTAGATTTTCTAATTTTCTGAAATTAATCTCAGATTTACTAATTGAGGTCTTCCCTACCACACTTCAACAAAATCTGAAATTTTATGTTTTACTTCCTCCATTGTATGGTAGATCCTGAATAAGACCACGGATTTGTCTACAACGATCAAGGGCAAATTGATATCCTCAAATCTCCATTCTTCGACGTCAACTTAGAGATCGATTAAACCGTTGAAGACTACGTCGGAAGGATTATCTTCTCCCTCGCCGCCGCTATTGACGAACAACTCTCTCCCACTCAGTGGCAAATTATTTCCAAATTCTGATAAAGTGGAATATCTCCTCCATGTCTTTGCATTTCTAAGTTCTCCCTTTAAAATTATGGCATCATAAAGGTTGTGCAACTTATCTCCGCTTAGCCAAACATCGAGAGTGTGAGTGAGTGGATCCAATTAGTGCCTAATCTAAATGTTAATGTAATATTTCTTTCGAAAATCTCCCGTGCTATGCTAAGCTTGATTGTAATTGATTATTCATGATTCTAATTATTATCATGTAATTTGGCCTAAACTTAACTTATATCTTGCTT